ACACACACATATATTACGGTAACTAGAAATGAATAATAATGCCCTGCTTCAAATTATCAAATTGTTATTTGACATATGGTATCATTTGATTACTGAACATTCTCAATTATTCAGCCGTTTAGATGATAGGTAATGAAGAATAAACAAAACTCTATTCGATCAAGCATGTCAACAAGGCTCGATTAAGGGTAAATTAAATGGACGGTCCTTGGCAAGCCACTCCAAGATTCTAAAACAAAGAAGAAAACAAGAATGCCATTCTAGACATGAATGGGCTTGTCATAGGTAGCCATTGCAGCTTCCTTCAATGCCTCGCTCATTGTAGGATGTGCATGGCAGATACGTGCTATATCCTCACTAGCTGCATCATAGTTAATGGCAAGCACAGCCTCATGAATGAGCTCTCCAGCATTGGGTGCCATTATGTGGACTCCAAGTATTTTGTCCGTCTCTTTGTCAGCCAATATCTTGACTATTCCTTCAGCATCATCAATTGCCTTGGCACGGCTGTTTGCCAGGAAAGGGAACTTACCAACACGGTAGTCAACCCCTAGTGCCTTAACCTGTTCCTCAGTCTTCCCCACAGAGGCAACCTCAGGATGAGTATAGACAACTCCAGGGACCTTATCATAATCCACATGACCATGTTTGCCAGCTATAAATTCCACACAAGCAACCCCATCCTCTTCAGCTTTGTGGGCTAACATTGGCCCAGGAATTACATCACCAATGGCATAAACACCAGGCACATTTGTTGCAAATCTTTCATTGACTAGAATTCGTCCTGCCTTATCAGTTTCCACCCCTATCTTGTCCAGTCCCAGTCCAGCTGTAAATGGAGTCCTACCAGCAGAGACAAGAACAACATCAGCTTCAAGTGTTTTCTGCTCTCCACCAGATGCTGGTTCAACTGTCAGTTTCACAATATCTCCTGATGTATCAACTCCTACCACCTTTGTCTTGAGCATAAATTTCATCTTCTGTTTCTCGAGAGACCGTTGGAATTGCTTCCGAATTTCCCCATCCATGCTTGGAACAATATCTGGTGCGAACTCAACAACAGTAACCTCTGAACCAAGTCGTCCCCAGACTGAGCCCATCTCAAGCCCTATGTACCCTGCTCCAATCACTATGAGTTTCTTGGGGATTTCAGACAAGGCCAAAGCTCCAGTTGATGAAACAATTCTCTTTTCATCAATGGTAATCCCAGGTAAAGATTTAACATCAGAACCAGTGGCAACTATAACATGCTTGCCTTTAACAACAGTATTCCCACCTTCAATGGTGTCTACAGAAACTTCAGATGGAGAAATGAATTTGCCATACCCTTTAACATAGTTTACTTTATTCTTCTTGAATAGACCTTCAATACCACGGGTAAGACCAGAAACGGCCTTGTCCTTTTGGGCCATCATGGCAGGCAAATCAACCTCAACAGAAGAAAATTTGACACCATGGCCGGGAAATGAATGCTTAGCTTCATGGTACATGTGGGAGGAATGGAGAAGGGCCTGAATAGAGAAAGAGCAAATGAGCAAAGATAGAAAACACAAAATGCATAATATTACAACTTACAAGTACCAGAAAGTGCAAAATTGACCAAAACAGTAAGAACTTAAAGCTGCCTATTTAAGTAGATATATAATCTAAGTTGGGATTTAATAAAAAAGTGTCAAGTGACAATCAAAGGTAGGAATAAAAAAAAAAAAAATCGCACTTGCCTTTCTCCTAAAAAAAGGTGATTTTACATAATTCAAACACAATTTCTCAACTAATACAAGATGAACAGAAAAAGCAATTTCATACTTTTATACTGGATAACTTATCTCTGAAAAACTCAAAAGCCAAACAGTGGACGGCCAATATAAATTTGTCCTTTTTCAAATAAATTACAAATAACATACACAATAATGCAATTACATATGGTATTCACCAAAGCTATACCAACAATATTATCTCAACCAAATCTCACGTCTAAGAGTCAATAAAACCCAGGTCATCACAATCAATCTATAAACAAAAGGAGAAGAACCGAAGTCATCACCATCAATCACTAAACTAAAAAAAAACAATCAGATCCAATGAATAACCAATCACTGAAAAACCCTAGATGTACCTTAGAAGGGATGCATCCAACGTTGAGGCAGGTGCCGCCAAGTGTGCCGCGCTTCTCAATACATGTAGTCTTAAGACCAAGCTGAGCGGCCTTGATTGCTGCCACATAGCCGCCGGGACCGCCTCCGATGACAACGACATCGTTCTCCTCAAATCCCGACGCAAAACCCCGGGAGAAATTGCTCAGTGAAAAGGAGTATCTCAAAGCATCCGTCGAAGAATTCGAGAGGTTTCTAGAAAGAAGGTACGCCTTCCTCCTTGCCAAGCTTGCCAGAACCATTTCCTTGTTCCTGAATTTAGTGTTTTCGTCGGAGATTTTCCGAATCAAAGCCTACTGACTGCAGCGGCTTTTTGAAGATCGGAGCGAACAACAGCGGAGACAGACGGAATATAAAAATGGTTGTGTTTTATTGGGTCGCCTCCATTTAATGTAATGAAGGATCTGGTGCGGCGTTGACCTATAATTACACTTTGGTTTATCCATTCATAAGTTGACACGTAGCAGCTGCTGCTGCATTGGTTGACCATCATGTTTTTTTCTTTTTTTTAGAAAGGTTGACCATCATGTTAGGTGTGTACGGTGGCGCCTTCGGTTTTGGTTGAAGGAAACTTTTAGTAACTTTTATTTTTATAAAATTATTTAGGTATTTTTATATTTTAATATTATAATAAAAAGATAATATGTTTGAAAAAATGTTATTTTAGATATTTATTTTTATTAATATTATAATATTTATTTTT